TGGATTCCCAGGCTGTGGATCCCCAGGCTGCGGATCCCCAGGCTGTGGATCCCCAGGGTGTGGATTCCCAGGCTGTGGATCCCCAGGCTGTGGATCCCAGGCTGTGGATCCCCAGGGCAGTGGATCCCCAGGCTGTGGATCCCCAGGGTGTGGATCCCCAGGGTGTGGATCCCCGGGACAGTGGATCCCCAGGCTGTGGATCCCCAGGGTGTGGATCCCCAGGGTGTGGATCCCCAGGGCAGTGGATCCCCAGGGTGTGGATCCCCAGGGCAGTGGATCCCCAGGGTGTGGATCCCAGGCTGTGGATCCCCAGGCTGTGGATCCCCGGGGCAGTGGATCCCCGGGGCAGTGGATCCCCAGGGCTGTGGATCCCCAGGCAGTGGATCTCTGGGGCTGCTGCTCCTGCCCCAGCAGCTGGAGTTGTCCCTCCCTGCCGGGTCCCCCCTCTGTGCTCTCCGTGGAGGGTGAGCTGGATCTCGGGGTCCGGCCATGGGCTGGGGCCTCCGCTGTCCGTCTGTCCATCCATCCATCCATCCATCATCCATCCCTCCATCCATCCATCCGTCCGTCCGTCCGTCCGTCCGTCCGTCCATCCATCCTTCCGTTCTTCCATCCATCTGTCCCTCCATCCATCCATCCCTCCCTCTGTCCATGCACCCATCATCCATCCCTCAATCCCTCCATCCATCCGTTATCCCTCCCTCTGTCCCTCTGTCGGTCCATCCCTCTGTCCGTCCGTCCGTCCGTCCGCCGCGGGCCGGTCCGTACGTGCGCGCGGCGCCGTCCCTCATGGCTCCTGCAGCGGGTTCGGCGGGGGGCGGGGAGCGCCGGTGCTCCCGGGGCTGTTCCCGGGGCTCCTCCCAGAGCTCCTCCCGGGGCTGTTCCCGGTGCTCCCGGGGCTCCTCCCGGTGCTCCCGGGGCTGTTCCCGGGGCTCCTCCCGGAGCTCCTCCCGGGGCTGTTCCCGGGGCTGTTCCCGGGGCTGTTCCCGGGGCTGTTCCCGGGGCTCCCGGGGCTGTTCCCGGGGCTGTTCCCGGGGCTGTTCCCGGGGCTGTTCCCGGTGCTCCCGGGGCTCCTCCCGGTGCTCCCCCCGGGGCTCCCGGAGCTCCTCCCGGTGCTCCCTCCGGGGCTCCTCCCGGGGCTGCTCCCGGTGCTCCCGGTGCTGTTCCCGGGGCTCCCGGGGCTGTTCCCGGGGCTCCCGGGGCTCCTCCCGGTGCTCCCGGGGCTGTTCCCGGGGCTCCCGGAGCTCCTCCCGGTGCTCCCGGGGCTCCTCCCGGGGCTCCTCCCGGTGCTCCGCTCGCTCCTTCGCTGTCCCGGCCGGTGCCGGTGCCGGTGCCGCCCCCGCCCCTCCGCCCCTCCGCCCGCCCGCCCGAGCCCGGCCCGAGCCCGGCCCGAGCCCGGCCCGAGCCCGGCCCGAGCCCGGCCCCGAGCCCGGCCCGAACCCGAACCCTAACCCGAACCCGGCCCGAGCCCGAGCCCGGCCCCAACCCGGCCCCAACCCGGCCCGAACCCGGCCCGAGCCCGGCCCGAGCCCGGCCCCGCCGCTCGCTGGCTCCCCACAGCTCCGGGCTGCTCCCGGGAGCGCAGCCCAGGCTGGGAGCGCTCCAAGCCGCGCTCAGCCGCTGTGTGTGGTTCGTTCTTTATTTATTTCCCCCTTCCTTCCCTGTAAAATGGGAGAGGGGGATTTAAAAAGGGAGGAAAAACGGATTTACAAAAAAATATTGTTGTCTGTCCTCACGGGGATTTTCTCCTCTTGTGTAGCGGCTGGAGGGTGCAGAAGGGGATGTGCAGGAGCCCCGACCATATCACTTGGTTTTCTCTTTATTTTAATTTATTTCCTCCCCTCCTCAGCTTTTTATCCTTTCTCGGAGTGAATGGAAGGAGATTTGGGAGCTTTGGGCAGGCAGAACTTTTTCCGAGGAAAATCAGCTGAGGTGGAGGAGTTGGTGCTCACAGCAGTGAGGGGGGATGAACGGGGAAGGGAGATGGATTTTTCGGGAGAAGCTGCGGGGTCGTTCCACCTCGCAGCCAGCAGGGCCAGGAACAAAAGGAGCTGGATGGGACAGCCAGGAAAAAATCGGGTTTTATATGTATATATATTTATATTTAATTTATATATGTGTGTATATACACTTGTGCGAATTTTCTTTCCTCCACTGATTTGGGGCAGGTTTTGCCTTTCAGGTTAACCTTTTAGGAGCAGCGTGAGATGTTTGCTCCTTCCTTTAGTTCACACGATGGACTATGGGTTCTTTTGAATGTATTTTGAATTTTTAAATGAAACTTTTAATGAATTATGTATTTTTATGAATTTTATGGGGCTTTTAAATAAATTTTCCTACGTTCCCAGCCCGCTTGGGATGGAGCAGCCCAAGGTGCCTCCCTGGCCCTGCGGCTGATTTTTGGGGCTTCCCCTGCCCTTTCCCAGCAGGTTCCCCCCTGGGCAAACCCTTGGCAAACAGGTTTGCCATCATTTCCCTGGGCTGGCATCCCCGGAGCCCAGGAGAGGGGAGCTCGGGGCGCTCATCTCCCCGGCGCTGGGGAGAATCCCCTTGGGCTGGGCAGGAGGAGGAGGAGGAGGAGGAGGAAGGACGGGCGAGGCCGTTCCCTGCCGGCTGTGCCAAGGGGAGCGGAGGCGTGCTGTCCCCACCCTGCCGGGCTGCGCTTTCTCCCCGGACCTGCCGGACCGGTCCCATCGCCGCGGAGGCACCGGAGCCCCTCTGAAACCCTCTGAAAGCATCACGGCGCGATGCCCGAGCAGCGCTGGGCTGCCCCGGGGGCTTTCCCGCTGGGGAAAAGGGATTTTTTTTTTTTGGAAAGAGCCGTGCTGGGAGTGGTTCCTCCGAGGTTTCGCCGCAGTCAGCAGCTTAGCGTTCTTATCTCCCCAGGAGTCAGCAGCGTAGCGTTCTTATCTCTCCAGCGTCGCGTTCTTATCTGTGCAGCGTGCCTCTGCTCACGCTCTCACGCCGAGGGTGAAGGACTCTGTGCCGAAGCCGTGGAGCCGCAAGGGTTAAAGCAGCCACACGCGGGGGCTTTGAACCCGGCTTAACTCGGAGCCCTAACTTTGTGTTTAACTTTGTATTTCGGAGCCCTAACTTTGTGTTTAACTTTGTATTTCGGAGCCCTAACTTTGTGTTTAACTTTG